CTACAGAAAAAAAGTGCTAAGACTAAAAGTTATGTAGTGTACGAATATTCTTCTATGATACTCTGAGCATATTTAGACATGTCTTCACACAATATTATGTAGCCCAAACATTCTCTTAGGGCAAACTTTTTATTTTGTACTTAGCATTCAGGTGAATTTCACACGTAAGTTTCATGCACTCTCCTTTACACTTTGCTGAAATTTTAGTGAACAACATATCTGAATCGCGATTATTTGATCATTTCAAGAATTCTACAGTGATAACACTAACGTTGCATTGCAACTTCATGCTCTGCTGATCGAAATTTAATGCAAGTTCTGAATACTAGCATCTATATGTTAGAAACATAGGTAAAATAGTAGGCCATTCAGCCAGTCCAGGGCCATTCAATATGATCATGTCTGATTGAACATGCCAATGCCTTTAACTCACCCCATATGCCACTGGTCGTCAAAAATTTATCAACCTCTAACTTAAATATACTCAAAGGCTAAGCCTCCATAGTCTTCTGTGGCAGAGAATTCCAAATGTTCACAACACTCTGGAATAAAATAAATGACGTCCTTTTTATTTTTAAACTATTTCAGACTCCCCAACCATGGGAAACATCTCACCTGTATCTACCCTGTCTATCCTTTTAAGTATTTTGTAGGTTTAATCAGATTACCACATATTTTTCAAACTCCTTGAAAATACATGCTCAGTTTGTCCAATTTGTTCTCACAAGACAGTCCATCATGCCAGAAACAAGTCTAGGTGAACCTTTGTTGCACACCTCAAATGGCAAGAATACCTTTCTTGAGATTAGGACACCAAAACCTGTACACAGTACTCCAGGGGAGGTCTAACCAAGCTTTCATACAACTGAAAAAGGACTTCCTTGCTCCTGTACTCAAATTCTCTTGCAATAAAGATGAACATTCCAACAGCCTTCCTAATAGCTTGGTGCATGTTAGCCTTCAGTAACTCATCAACAAGGACACCTAGGTGCCTTTGTACATCAACACTTTCCAACCGTTTATCATTTAAGAGATACTCTGCATTTCTGTTTCTGCTACCAAAGTGGATAATCTCATATTTTTTTCCACATTAGATTCAGTCTGCCATGTTTAGTGCCTGATCACTGAATCCCTCGAACTCCTTGTTAAATTGCTTTACATCTTCTCCACAACACACATTCCCACTTAGCTTTGTATCATCTGCACATTTGCAAATATTGCATTTGGTCTTTTTAGCTCCAGATCATTGATATATGTTATGAATAGCTGGAGCCCCAAGTTCTGATCCCTACAATATCCTATTAGTCACATTCTGCTAATGTAAGAAAGAACTGTTCATTTCTACTCTGTTTTCTGGCTCTTAACAAATCATTAATCCATGCCAGTACAGTACCTCTTAGTTAGGTGCTTTAATCTTTTTTATAAGCCTCTTATTAGGAACTTAATCACAAGCATTCTGAAAATTTATGTATGGTATGTCTATTGGCTCTCCTTTAATAATTTTGTTAGTAACATCTTCAAAATCTTCCAAGTTCAACAAACATTCAATTTTCCATTCACAAATCCATATTGATTGTGCCCAAGCTAATCATTATCAACCAGCTGCGTATTTATTCCATCCTTTAAAACAAATTCTGGCATTTTTCACACCACTGATTTAAGGCTAACAGGTTTTTAGTTCTCTGCTTTCTCTTTTGTTCCTTTCTTAAATAGTGATGTGACATTTGCTACCTTCCAATTCTCAGGAATCATTACAGAATCATTAAAATTTTAGAAGATAATTGCCAATGTATCAAGTAACTCTACAGCGACCTCCTTCAACACTTTTAATATTAACTTCAGACGAATACTTCCTACAAGAAAGATATGTTTCATGATGATGTTTTCAAATAACAAATATAGAACAGGTTAAAGCTCGTGAAATAATCGTAATTATGGCATAAAATAGCAGATTCAAAACAGCAGTGAACAATGCTCATCTCCAACTTGCATATTTGCAAAAAAAAAACCTGCATTAAACTGTGACTGATTATGCAATGTACTGTGCAGTAGTTTTCTCATTACAATAAAATATCTTTAAAGAAAATGTACTGAAGTCAACAAACAGAGGTGGTAACAATTGGCCAAATTTTCAGGGCTTCCTTTAGCCAAGAATGAAAACAGTGGGCTCCCAAAAATATTGGCATTGGACAGTATACTAACCTAATGGCGACAATTCAGATGCTGAATTCAATAACCAGAGTAGGGAAAAGCATCAATTCTGCTCTCCTCCCATTTGAGGGCATTCAAAGAATGAAGGGAGAAAAGGGAATATTGAAAAGGAAGCACAGGTGTCTGCTTCTGTACTTACAGAGGGGACCAGGGCACACCACAAGGAGTTGGTCAAGGCTGTCCTAGGGCATCAAACCAGCCCCATAAGAGGAGGGTGAGTGGAGGAGGGGTTTGGTCTTGGCAACTGCTTTGATGTTACATAACTGTCAGAGACAGAGGTCACTCAGCATCCAGGATTTGAGGGGAATTAACCTCATTATTGAGATGATGGGCAGAAAAACAACAGAATGACTCCCCAGATACTGAAGTTGTTCATGTTCACATACCTGGGGCTTGGGATAAGTGGCAAGAAATACTCACATCACACAAGTGCCAGGACACAACCAAATCAAACAAGAGAGAATCCAACCATCACCCATTGATAATCAAGATATTTCTAATGCTGACTCCTCCTCAATCAACATCCTGGGGTTTCCATTGACTGGAAAATAAACTGGACTGGCTATGTAAATATTGCAGCTGAAACAGCATATCAGAGACCAAGACTTCTGCTGCAAGTAAGTCACTTCTTAACCCTTCAAAGACCACTGTCCATCTACAAGGCAAATCAGAAGTGTGCAAATTAGAAGTGTGATGGAATACTCTCTCTTCACTTAGCAGGATGTGTGCAGCTCCAACAATACTCAAGAATTTTAATGCCATGTGACAGTAGGTATGTCCCTTTGGCTCTTCTCAATAGGCAAGGTACTGACTGTATCCAACCTGCTGTCACTTAGCTCAGTTGGGTGAACGGCTGGTTTGCAATGCGCAATAATGCAAACAGTGTGGGTTCAATTCCTGCAGTGGCTGAGACTACCATGACGAACTCAACCTCTCCACTCACCTGATGCGTGGTGACCCGCAGGTTAAATCACCACCAGTCATCTCTCTTGGACTATGATGACTTTCCCTTTACTATCTAGAAGAACATGGACAGCAGATATTCTCCTCCAAGCCTGACAACAGTTTGACTTGAAACTAACATTCCTTGTAATATTTTGTTTTTAAAGGTGGGCCTTCAAGGCCTGAGCACAGCATCTATTTCCAAAACCAAAGTCAATGCATCAGCACAAAGTTGATGTGTGCGGAACCTTGGAGTAATCATGAGGCTGCGTAGCTTAAGAATGTTGCTTGAAACTGTGTTGCTGTTCCAGGACTTCAACCTGGTGGCAGTAAAGGAACTCTCTTCCTCTCCCCACCACACGAACTAGAGCAGTTCAATACTGCAGCTCACCACCACCTGCCCAAGGGCAGTTACAGGTGGCCAATGATTGCTGATGTTGCCTTGTAGATCATGAACAGGCTCTTGGGGTCAGGAGGTGAGTCACTCGCTACAGGATCCCTAACCTCTGATCTGCTCGTGTAGCCACTGTCTTTTTATATGCCTGGTCTAATTCAGTTTCTGATCTCTTCTCCCACCTACACCCAGAATGTAAAGATTGAGAGAGTCAGTGACGGAAATGCCACTGAGCATCAAGTGGAGTGATAGACTACTTTTTGTTGGTAACAGTCATTGCCTGGCACTTGTGTAGTGTAAATATCACTTGCCATGTGGACACGGATTGCTTTAATACTGAGAAGTTGAGAATAGCCAATACTGTCTAATTATCAGCGAACATCCTCACTTCTTGCTGTATGATGGAGAGGAGTTCATTGATGAAGCAGCTGAAGATTATTGGACCTAGGAAACTAATCTGAGGAACCCTTGTAATGATGTCCTGGAGCTAGGTGACTGACTTCCAACAACCACAACCATCTTGCTTTGTGCTTAGTGCAACTCCAACCATTGGAGAGTGTTCTCTGATTCCCACTGCCTCTAATTTTCCTAGAGCTCCATGATGCTAATTTGGTTAAATGTGGCTTTGATGTTAAGGGCAGTCAGTCTTAGCTCACTTCTGGAGTTTGGTAGAGTCTGGAATCGCTTAGCTCTGTCTATAATTTGTTGCTTCTGCTGTTTGCCTTGCAGCTAATCTTGTGTTGTAGCTTCACCAGGCTTGACATGTCATTTTTAGGTATGCCTGGTGCTGCACCAGACATGCTTTGCAGCGCTCTTAATTGAACTGAGGGTGAGCCCTTGGATTTGTGATTATTGTACTTTGGGATATACCAGGCCACGAGTTTGGAAATTGTGGTTGGGTACAATTCTGCTGCTGCTGATGGCCCACAATGCCTTGTGGATGCCTAGTCTTGAGTTGATAGATCTGTTTGAAACCTTCCCATTTAGCACAGTGGCAGAGTCACGCAACATGATGGAAAGTCTCCTCAATGTGAATCACTGGAATCATTTGGCGCACCTTGCAGGGTCAACTGAGCAATTGATTGATCAGTAGCCCTCAGCAGGTGAGATTTCCAGCCAGGGGACATATTCCCAGGGAAGACCCATTGCTGATCTGTCAAGTTGCTGAGTGGCAGTTATCTCTACAGGCCTGCTCTAAAAGTGATGGCATGGAGCTCCCACTGGCTATGTAGTGAGGGGCGAAGACCATTGAATACAGCCTCCGGTGTGCACATTGTAAGATGATTAATATCCCATAGCTGCACAATGAAATAATACTTACAAAGCAAAAAGTAAAAGCAGAATCTGAACAATAATGGTGGAGAGATATCTGGGGACAGTGGTCGATTTAATTCAAGAACTTCTTACAGTAGCATCAGATTTTAAGGAAATATAAATACACAAAGTAACTTACAGCTTCTGAACTTCAGCCCAGAGTGTGTTCTGTAAAAGATGATCTTCTGAAGGAGGCTCTATATGAAATTAACAGAAAATAACACATTGAAAGAAATGAACCCATTTACACAATTGAGGTCAAAAATATACCATCGGGCCACATATTTATCCATTTTACTCATTCATTTATTTTCCTTTGGAAATTTGCAGACTTAGAGTTTGCACAGACCATTCTTACTTCAGTTCCATTAGCGATAGATAAATCTTAAATTAGAACAGCATAAATTGGCAAGAAGAGCAAGAAGAGATATAAGTAAACTAATGGGAATACTGCCTTTACATGTTTATGAAATTTCATGGTGTACAGCAAAGCAGCTGTATCTACACATGGTCTTTTTTTCTGCTGCTACAGGCCCCCATGTATTTTAAGTCCATCTCTTTTCTTTCTCACTCAGTCACTAATTTGTTATTTTATCAAGTCTCTTCCACTTTCTGTCAGCCTGTCATGCTGCCTTTCATTTCTCTGTCCTTGGGTAGATTTGAACTCCTTACTATTCTTGTGCATTACTTTTTCACTGAATAGAATCACAGAAAGTTGGTGGCACAGAAAAAGGCCACTAGGCCCATCATGGCTATGCCAGTGAACAAGTGAGCCACCCTGCCCCATTACACTTTCCACTATTTGGTCCCTAGTGCTGCAGGTTATGGCACGAGATTCATATCTGGATGCCTCCACTGTGCTCTCATGCAGTGAATTCCAGCTCCCAATTCACCTCGAGTTGAAAACACTTTCCTCATCTCCCCTCCAATTGTTCTATCAATCTTAAAATCTGGATGTCCTAGTCAGTGTCCTCTCTACTCAGGTAAACATGTTCTTCCTATCCAGCTGTCTCACATTTCACTCAAACCTCCCCTTGACCTCTTCTTTTCCAAGCTATTTTCTGTCCTGCCAGCATGCTTGTAAATCCTTTAGAGTGCAATTATTTCCTTTAGATTATGAGGTGACCAGAACTGTTCACAGAACTCAAGTTGTGGCCAAACTATTAATTTACATAGTTGCAGCATAACCTCCCAGCTCTTATATTCTAGGATTTCATTTGTGTCCTCAAACAACTTATTATCATCTCCTGCTACCTTCAGTGATCTGCTGACATTCAAGGATCCTCACTTCCTCAACAACCCTGTTCTCCCAGTAATTGAATATTCCTCTGCCTTGTGCAACCTCCTCAAATATTTTACTTCACTTCTCCCACCTGAATTCTATTATCCACATTTCTGCTCACCCAACCACCATTGATATATTGGTGTAGTCTACAGGTATCCTCCACACTGGCAACCATACAGTCAATTTTGTTGATCATGCCCCCTAGATTTGCATCTGTCATTAATATCACAGAATTACGTAAATGTTATGATATAGTCCCTTCCATCATTTCTGTACTGGCTTTTCAAATGTACCCAGGCTGTTAAAAGAAGCCATGGAGGAAATGGCAAAAGGCCTGTCCATCATTTTCCAATCCTACTGGAAGCAGATGTGGTGCCAGTGGATTGGAGGATTGCCAAAATTGTGCCTTTGTATAAAAAGAAAACGAGGAGATAGACCAAATAATTAGAGGCCAAGCAGTATAATCTCAGTAAGCAAATTAGTGGAATTAATTCTGCGATACAGGCTAAACTATCACTTCAAATGGGTTCACATTAATCAAGGAAAATCAACATGGATTTATTAAGGGGAGATCATGTTTGAATAACTTGATTAAACCTTTAGAATAAGTAACAAGGAGGACTGATGAGGGGAATGTATTTGATGTGGATTTTGGTGCAGCTTTTGGCAAGGTTCCACATGGTTCACAGGTTTAAAAAAGAAGTAAAAGCCCATGGGATTGAAAGAAATGTAGCAAGCTGAAATCAAAGTTAGTTCAGTGGCAGGAAATGAAGCATTTTCTTTTCTGGTGCTTTTGCAACTGGAAGATTCTTTCCTATGGAGTTCCACAGGATCCAGCACCAAATCCCTTTTTTTATATATATCTCCAGAAGGTATTTGATGCAGTGCCACACAGCAGACTTGTGAGCAAAGTTACAGATGAGGTATTTCTTTCCCTACAATCTTTTTACCGATGTCATATTCTTTTGCCACTGCTCTAAGTTTGAGGTCCCTTGGATAAGCTCATAAGTAGCTTTTCTACTTCTCACAGCATTGTTTAAAAGGCCCACTAAAACTGCCATCTTTATTTGCATCAACCCGAATTACTCCACTTTACTCTCCATGATGCTCCCACCCAGCAAACCAGTGTAGGATTACCTTGTCAATCTCTTCCCCATTCAAGGTGCCCCAACTTGAGTCAAAGTGTGTTCTGATAGAAGACCTACATTCATGTCCATCCAGAATACCAAACACTTGTAAACAAATTTCCACATATTCATAAAATTCTTGGAAGATATCTTTAAGTTTCATTATATCAACAAATTCAAAAGTCCCCCAAAATCCTGGAAACAATCCTTAGTCTTTCGGACTTTTATACCTGTAAGATTGATTGGCTGGAAGTAGGTCTGAGGATACTGGTCAGCAGCATTGAGCGGCAGAGCACTTTGGTCCATTTTACTAGCATTGGCAGCTAGATCTCCTGAAGCAGAGAAGGCAAGATTACCCAATTGAGCATTTACACAGTTTTAAAACTTCAGCTTTAAAGTTTCAGGATAGTGGAAAGGACATCTAGGACTGAGATAAGGAGAAATTTCTTCACCCAGAAGTGGTGAGCCTGTGGAATTTTTTGCCACAGAAAGTGGTTGAGGCCAATACCTTGAATGTTTTCAAAACGAATTAGATATAGTTCATAAGGCTCACAGGGTCGAGTGGTATGGGAGAAAGTGGGAACAGGGTATGGAGATGGATGATCAATCATGTTCATATTGAATGGCAGAGAGGATTCAAAGGGCCGAATAAACTACTACCGCTGCTATTTTCTTTGTTTCTATGTTTTACAAAATTGCACCGTGCAATGTCTTCAAAGTCAAAATACAACAATTTAAGGTCAAAAGTCACAGGACACCAGATTATAGCCCAACAGGTTCATTTGAAATCAAAAGCTTTCAAAGTGCTGCCCCTTTATCAGGTAAAGCGTACAACAATTTAAGTTTGAGAACCAGAGGGAACAGATGTAAGCTAAACTGCAACAGAAGCAAAGGTAACATGCAATAAAACTTTCATGTAGTTATAGTGTGGAACACATTATTTCTTGTGTAACACGACTTATAATCTTAGACATGTCACAGTACAGTGCGACAATACTATGGCTTTAAGATTGGTATTTCGTCGTTTTTTTTTAAATGAAGAAAGCTTGAGACAGAGGTGACGAGCAGTTTGCTCCAAAGCCAATACAGTAAACAGATTGTGAGGCCTCCGTTTTGTTTTAAAGTTGGAACAATAGAAGCAGCCTAAATGGGTTGGGTCAAGCTCCCACAGAACCAAGATTTTTAGTTTTAGCTTTCAGTAGTAGTTGATGCTGGGACCTCAAAGCTGGATTGTGGAAGCTGTTTTTCCTCTCTCTGTTATAGCTAAAAGCTGGGGGGTCTCTTCTTGCTGTTAGAATTGCATGTGACATAATCTATTTTACTAAATTTGCCTTTGTCAAGGGTGTGCTTAAGGGATATTACTACATTGGAAAAGTTAATTAGTAGTAGCTAACATACTATTTTCTTAAGCATTTCGATAGTTACAGTTAAGCCAATTCTTTTATTTTTATTTTGTTTGTGTTTTAATTATAGTATAAGAAGGAAGTGGCAGTTTGAAACAAATTGCATCGAGAACTCAACACCTTACACTTACCTTTAAAATGCAAAAAAGTTAGGGTCTACACCATCTTCTTTATATATTTTGAGGGCATTTGGTCTGGTCCATAACAACAGGACAGGGCCACCTGACTTCATCATATCCGTTGTGCCCCTCCTAAGAAACAATTCATTTTTGACTACTCCCCACATCCCTGCACTTCCTCCCCTTCATATATTCAGAAAATGTAGAAAAACGTTTGGCACAAAAGGTGGCCATTTGGCTACCAAATTGTAATGACCTAACATAATGTCACTTCCCAGGACTTGGTCCATATCCTGATATTTCAGGTACATATCCAGACACTTTCTGGTTTTACTGTCCTTTCAGTCAGTGGAGTTCCAGATCCTTACCATCCTCTGGGATGTGATTTATATGGTTAAGTAAAACCTTGCCTCATCTTTTGTTCTATGTCTCATCTGGCAAAGGAAAGGATTCCATATTCTTTCTTAATCACTTTATCCATCTCTCCTGCTATCTTCAGTGATCTGTGAACATCGACTCCAATGTCTGTCATTTCCGGTGCACCTCTTGGAGTCCTCCTATTTACTATGTATTCCTTTGCCTTGTTTGACCTCCCAAGTGCACCACTTCACACTTCTCCACATGGAATTCCATTTGCCACTTTTCTACCCATCTTACCAGTCCACTGTTATCTTTCTGCAGTTGGCAGCTTCCCTTCTCACTATTAACCAAGCAACAAATTCTTTTGCCATCTAAAAACTTCTTGATCATACCCCACTACATATGCATTCAAATCATTAATATTTATCAGAAAAACCTCTCAACTTCTGGCCCAGATAGAACAATCCCTTACTCCAAGTCTCTACTTCTTTCTAGTTACATGAAGAGCGATGAAAAAATGTGGATGTTTTATACAGAGGTGCAGAAAGAGCTTTAATTATGCAGCACATCAACTCTTTTAACTGGTCAGTGGGCTAATAGGCCTTGCTGTGCAGGAATGAGCCTCAAATTGAAGCAGGCAAGGCTCAATTGCTAGTCTCGGTCAGGAAAACGACGTCACTAGGATTAACCCAAATGTCCGGAACATTGGACAAAACTGCTCATGAAAATCATCTCCTAAATTATGGGATTTGTGGATTAAAAGTACCTACATTTCCTTATTCTGATCACTGTCTAATGACCTTCATGAAAAATGATCATTTATGGCCATGATAGAAGGACTGAAATAAGCATGGCTATGAGACTTGCTGCCATTGATCTGTGCATGTCAGAGTCAGGTATGTTAAATAGACATTGTACAAGGTGTCAGAGACCACAGAGTAATTTTTTACTACAGGGGTCAAATTTTTATCCTTTAGGCTGATAGAGGAAGCTACAAAAATTCCTGGCTTCATGTACCCGCCTCAGAAAGTACTGGCCCAGAGGCACAAACTGGAGAAAGTTCAGATGTAGCCACACAGACTGCCAAGGACTGAGGCAGGCTGTTCAAAAGCTGGGTCACAACACCTCGAGGTGCCTTAAATCACATTCCTTTAAAAAGCTCACCCAACTGCATGAAAATGGCAGAAGACTAAGTCATGAATAATTCATAATGGATCCTGCCAGCTCGCACCTCGACACAGCTGGCACCCTTGAGCCGCTCACAAACATCGGAAAGCAGTCGGGAATCTCAGAACCGAGAACCATTTCTTAAGGGCTGAGAGTCATTTTGGTTCTGTGAAAATTGAAGTCTATATGACATAAAGTGATTTTGTTTTTCCAAAACAGAGTTATAACGTCAAATAAAAAAGAAATTCTTCAAAAATACCTTGAAATACTGCCTTATTTGACAATCCTAAAGCAGGTACACTTGCACCTTCAGGAATCTCATCATTTACCTGCAATAAAAGAAAAACAAAATTAAAATCATGAAGTATATAAAATGAGTGTCCATTGACATTTCAAGCCAAAAACACGAACTTTAAAATAAAAACACATTTCAATTACAACTCAAAAACTGAACTGGTCTTGAACACGGTAGTATTGATTGGAAGTAAACTTCATTTTATTGCAATCTAACGATATCATAGAACATACAGCAGTCCTACGTAGGAACAGGCCTTTCAGCCTACCATGTCTACACTGACAAGATGAAATTCAATGGATCTGAAAACTCACTGTATCTGTGAAATTTCCACTATTAATATATAACATGCAAAGGTTGCAAAGCAAAACATTTTCAAATTACATCCCACAAGATCCTCAACTTTCTGTCCAATCCTTCCTATCTTTGTCTTATGATCAAATTTGGCAACCATCTTTTCTGTTCCTTCATCCAAGTCATTTACAGAAATTGTAAACAGTTGAGATTACAGCACTAATCCCTGTGGCACACCATTCAGTATTTCTTTCTAACCTTAAAAGGACCCATTTTTGCCCACTATCTCTAAATGAATCTGTCCTGTGCCAATTCACGCGTGGCTCAAGTAACAATGTAGAGATTATGACCTTTAAGTTTCTGTTTACATTGACAACGTAGCTCCTCAAAATGACTATGCAAAGCCTCCATCTTTGCACTGCCCATGTCACTGATACCTACACGGACTACAGCTGGATCCTTCCCCTCCACTGCAAGTTCCTCTACAGAATTGAGCAGACGTCCTGATCCCTGGCACTATGCAGGGAATGCATCTTAAAGGCACTCAGCAGTCTGATGCAGAAAATGGTATCAATCCCCTTCAATGCACTGTCCCATTTGGTCACTACATTTATAGAAATTTGGAGCAGCAGTAGGCCATTCACTCCTTGAGCTATCTACATCATTCAACATAGGTTGATCCTCTCACAATGCCATTTACCTGCTTTTACTCCACAACTCTTTATGTTTTTAATATGTAAACATTTATCTCTTTCTTGAATATACACACTGTTCCAGCCTTCACGGGCTTCTATGGAGCAAATTCCACAGGTTGATGACCTTCTGAATGAAGAAATATTCCTCGTCTCAGCCTTAATTGGCTGACTCGATACCTTCAGAATGTCACCCCTGGATCTCGACTCCTGAACCAGGTGAAACTTTCTCGCCTGTAGCATATAGTCTGTCTAGCCCTGTTAGAATTTTAGGCATTTCAATCAGATCTCCTTTTGTCCATCGAAACACTTGTGAATAGCGGTCCAGTCAAACCAATCTCTCCTCATACAACAGTCCTGCTATGCCTTCTATCAATTTAATGAACTTTCATTGCACTGTCTCTGTGGCAATTATATCCTCTCTTTTAGACAGGCAGACCACAACTGAACATAATACTCCAAGTGCAATCTTACCAATCAACTGCCTCTCCTGACTTGATATCACCTCAGATTTATAATGACTTTCTGAATCCAAGCTATTAATACAAATTTTCAAAAGCAGCAGCTAATATCCCCTTCAAGCATTTTTTATTGCATTCAGCTTGTTCATGCAGTATTTTGAAGTTTTTAGCTTGGCTATGTATGCGCAATATCTTAAATTGGACAACTTGTGAGCGCCTGCACAGTACATTCCAGTATGCTGCGTGTCCATGTGCACACAAATACTTCTAAGGAAACATTGATAACAGTCCCAATACTGATCCCTGAAGCATCCCTTTAAATATCTGCTCAACTTCGATTCTTCAAACAATTAGTTTCTTGTACTTATTTAGTTCAATCAAATTCTTATCCTTTCCTAGGAATGTACACTGAATTGCAACAGTTCTACAGCTTGATTGCCCTTTCATGTAGAATTGTGATAAATGCTTTATTAAAAGCTACAAACAACAATGCACAGGGCTTTTCACAGTCTACCTGGGTGTGGACAAACTCAGTTATGACATACATAATGATATTTCACTGGCTGTCATCTCAGGAACAAGAAACCACCAATTTTGGGTACTTACAAAATTAATTGAAAACCTCAGAAAATGTTTTGTTTTCCCCAAAAGGAAGCTTTTAGAATATAGAAAATCCATAAAGTATACTGATATAAAACCAAAAGTTCCTTTACAAGGAAATCAGATAGCTGCTTGCAGAAGGAAGAATATTGAGGTAGTACCGGTAACGACTAGATTAATCCAAATGACTAATGGGGAAAAAACTAATCAAGACCTGATGGGACAAATTGCCTGTTCTGTGCTGCAATTCCAGGAAATGAGGAGTCAAATGATTCCCAAGAAGACAGATACAGATTTTTCATTCAATTTGTTTAGGGGTCTGCAGAAAAGCTGCTATCGAAACTGTAGTTTACAATGAGGATCCCTTCATTAAATAACAAGTCATGAGCTAGCTTGCGCACCGTGCAAACTGGTGTTATGGAAAGAAAAAGAAACAGATGCGTATTTCATGTTATTAGATAATTTTTTTAATAATATCAGGAGGGAGAGCTGCCTCCTATAATCAAAGATAAAGGACAAATGTTGAAACATAACAATTAAACAACAGTATTCAATGTACTTACACTATTTGAGAGCAAGTTCTCAAGTGGGGTACAGGTAATGGAACTGAAATTTTCCACAAAGTTTTTGGTGGCAGTGAAGACTCGAAGCACTTTCTCATCAGCACCAGAAACAAACTGAAAACGACCAATTATAGCTAAGCACTGCATGTCATATCCATGTATCTGTGGTCGTGCTATTTCATGCCAGGTTACCTACATGAAAAAATAACTTAAGTCAGCTACTTAAGACAAGAGATAGATAAAAAGGTTTTTAATTGTCAAGGGGATCAAGGTTTATTGGGAGAAAGCAGAAGAATAGGGTTGAGAAACTTATCAGCCATGATTGAATGGCGGAGCAGACTTGATGGGCCAAATTTCTGCTCCCATGGCTTATGATCTTATGATCTCCACAGAAATAATTACCCGAGAATAAAAAAATGCTACATCAGCAAGAGTGATAAGATCATAACAAAACATAACAGCAAAAAATGGTACACCTGACCAAGTAGACGGGTCTACTTCACATCACTAGTTCTTTCTTGCTTCCTCTGCTCCACAGTCATATACCACCACCCTCTGAAAATTTTGCTACAAATTATATGCCTTGGTGTCTTTCAAGCTGTCTTCAAGTATTTTTTAAATAACATGTCAGGCAAGATATCTGAAATCTGAAATACATCTCTTAAATATCTTTTTTCATTTGCACTAATTTTTCAGTCATGTTCAGCACTCAAAAACATTTGGTTCAAATTTTGTGAACAGCACATTTTAAGCAAATTGTTCTTTCCAAGGAATGCACTGTCAGAATAATTTCTATAGATTAACAATCTATTCTTTTGGGTAGAAATCCTAGTATTGTGCTATTTTAACAAAGCTGCTTCATGAAATTGAACATTAAAAGCAACATAACTACTATTGCAGTTGTGATGAAGGATCTTTCAGCTCAAAATGTTGACTTTGTTTTTCTCCCTTCAGATGCTGCCAAACCTTGAGTTTGTCCAGCACTTCCCATTTTTGTCTGTTTCAGATCTTCAGAATCTACAGTTCTTAGTTTTACTTAACTATTATTGCTGTCTGGGCTGTTTCAACTCCAAACTTGACCCTTCTCTTACTCAGCTATGTTATGCATCCTGGTTAGATAAAGTATTTATGAATTACATTCCAAATCTTAGTCAAATTTAAATTTGTAATCTTAGTCCCCTTGTTTCTTCATATTATGATGTATGAATTTGAGTATACAGGTAGTTCCGCTATAACGCATGTTTGATTAACATGAAATTGGTTGTAATGCGGTTGATGAATAGTGGACACTGTTTGGATACTGCAAACTTTCTGCTGTACAGGTATAGCGATTTTCTACAGCTCAGGTGGCAGCATGGTGGCTCAGTGGTTAATACTGCTGCTTTATAGCGCCAGGGACCCAGGTTCAATTCCACCCCTGGCCACCTGTCTGTGTGGAGTTTGCACATTCTCCCCGTGTCTGCGCGGGTTTCCTCCAGGTGCTCTGGTTTCCTCCAACACTCCGAAGATGTGCAGGTTAGGTGGATTGGATGCTCATTGCATCTTTCGCTCGTCATGCCATGCTTTTTGGCGATTTGCCCCCTCAGCCACTCTGTCTTGTTTTGTTGTTTAATGCAGGCACAGAGCTAGGCAGCCTATCATAGTTGTCAGCCACCATCAGTCAAGCGGGTAGACATGTTGCTATACCGTGGTGTCTTATGTCGATTACCCATGGATAAGCAGCCTATACAGCAAACACACTGCATGGGTTTCAACCAAATGGCCATGTCACATAGTTGACAGGAATTCATCGTCAGACAAGTCAAGGGGGGCAAACAGCAGTTGGGTCCAGCATAGTCAAGGGCAGTGTCCGCAATTGATGCAGGGGCTTAGGCACAGTCAGTCTTTGCTTGAGATGATCAGGGTAAAGGTTTCTGCCTCAGCATTGCCCAGAAAGTGGGCCACAGTCAGTTCTGTATGCTCAGTACAACCAGTCAGAAATTTGCAGTTCATCAGTCGGGGAACTCCTTGGCCATCATGCAGGAATCGTCTCCTTTCCTCCTTTTTAAAGTGCCGTTGTTTTGATCTTTCTCTCCCCAAAGTTCCAAAACAATGCAACAGCTTATAAAACAGTAATTACTGCTCTTAGAATTCGAGGAAATCAGCTCCAACACTACCACCCCACCAACCTCCGGATCCAACGCATCATCCTCCGACACTTCCGCCATCTGCAATCCGACCCCACCACCAAAGACATCTTTCCCTCCCCACCCTTATCTGCTTTCCGGAGGGACCACTCTCTCCGTGACTCCCTTGTCCGCTCCACACTCCCCTCCAGCCCCACCACACCCAGCACTTTTCCCTGCAACCGCAGGAAGTGCTACACCTGCCCCCATACCTCCTCCCTCACCCCCATCCCAGGCCCCAAGAAGACTTTCCACATCAAGCAGATGTTCACCTGCACATCTGCCAATGTGGTATACTGCATCCGCTGTACCCGGTGTGGCTTCCTCTACATCAGGGAAACCAAGCGGAGGCTCGGGGACCGCTTTGCAGAACACCTACGCTCGGTTCGCAATAGACAACTGCACCTCCCAGTCGCCAACCATTTCAACTCCCCCTCCCATTCCTCACACGACATGTCCATCCTGGGCATCCTGCAGTGCCACAACGATGCCACCCGAAGGTTGCAGGAACAGCAACTCATATTCCGCTTGGGAACCCTGCAGCCCAATGGTATCAATGTGGATTTCACAAGTTTCAAAATCTCCCCTCCCCCTACCGCATCCCAAAACCAGTCCAGCTCGTCCCTGCCTCCCTAACCTGTTCTTCCTCCCACCTATCCCCTCCTCCCACCTCAAGCCGCACCCCCATCTCCTACCGACTAATCTCATCCTGCCCCCTTGACCTGTCCGTCCTCCCTGGACTGACCTATCCCCTCCCTAACTCCCCACCTACACTCCCTTTACTGGCTCCATCCCCGCCTTTTCGACCTGTTTGTTTCCTCTCCACCTATCCTCTCCTCTATCCATCTTCTATCCGCCTCCCACTCTCTCCCTATTTATTTCAGAACCCCCTTCCCCTCCCCCTGTTCTGATGAAGGGTCTAGGCCCGAAACGTCAGCCTTTCTGCTCCTGTGATGCTGCTTGGCCTGCTGTGTTCATCCAGCCCTGCACCTTGTTGTCTCGGATTCTCCAGCATCTGTAGTTCCTACTATCACTAATCAGCTCTTACAGCCACAACTTTTTCCCAATCTCGATCTTGGATTACCCAGAATCCTGGGTAACTTAGTTAATGAAATGGATTCAGGATGACAAAGAAAACTCTCCAGCCTCACAGAGAGAAACTTGACAAAAATTACATTTAGCTGATTTCCAGTAAGATTCAGTCCATGATGTCTCAAGCTAGGTTTCACTCTCGGATCTGACTTGTCCAGTATTATGCTCAGCTGAGATCATAACAATAATCATCAGCAAATTTAAGAGACAGAACCAAGCAACTTTCCAGCTCATTTTCTCCCTCTTCTTGGAGGAATAGGTCTTAATACATCTGTATTACCTACATAATTAAGACTAGGATTCCACTTGTTTTTGTTAGCTAAAAGAATGGATCCATTCTCTTCTAAAATAAGATGCAAAAAAATTGTCTTCCAATCATTTTTGTGCAGGTTGTTTTTAGATAACCTCACTTTTTTAATGTTTGTTGCTCAAAACAAAACATGGAGACGTTCCAGGCTCTCAAACAAATAAAAATACTCTGCTTGATAAAAGGATCGTAAAAACAAAGTCTTATTTGCAGTGACATTTTCCAACATACTTTAAACCTATTTTTCTAACCAACTTGTTTAAAGATGTTATCACATACCTGTGGAGCAGATGGGACTTGAACCCGGGCCTTCTGGTCCAGGAGTAGGGACACTACATCTGCACCACAAGAGAGCCCCTTTTCCAACAATTTTCACCTCTGATGCTAACTAATATCACACTGTTTACCTGTTCATGTCTTGCCCTTCTCCAAGGAGCAAACAATCTCGTTGTCTGATCTGAACCAACACTTAAGATAAACTCTCCTTCAGGATCCCAGATCAAATCTTGAACAGAACCAAAATGTCCCGAAAGAATTACTTCTGGTTTCCACTCTCCCTGAAAACATATTAGATTGAAAGGCGTCAGTCTTATAAACATGATCGGGAAGACATACATTGATGTTTTATGACCATATGCATCCCTTTCAATTCTGATTTTGTTGCAGTACTACAGAAGTGATTTCCCTTGAAATGCAAATAGCACATACTGCTCATTAGAATTTTAATTGGAAATGCCAGTATAAAAAGGAAACCAAAAAAAGGGAAATAGAGAATAAAAAAATCATTATTTGAATAAGCTATCTATTTTATCTGCTGTTCAGTTTGTTTGGTCAATTGTTTGGTTTTGTAAGTGAGCTTGGATCTGCTGAGGTACATGGGGCCTGTGAAGGACTGAAACATGATGTATATGCAGCTACCATACTTGGTAGTGGCGGTGGTGGGACAAACAAATCTATAATGATCAGCCAAGTCCCACCCCTAATGAACTGCTACCAGGCTGCTTCAACTCAGTTGTCAGCCATCGCCACCACCAACATGTGATCTGTCTTAGGTGTTGTGAATCAGCCCCCAGGCCGTGGCCATCTGGTGCTTCCTTTCCAGCCAGCCATTCTGGCCATTTGTCTGACAGGAAAGGAGTACAACAAAGACATTTATTTAAATACATCAGAACCCCAGTGTTCTGATACTTCCAGATTTCCCATGCTTCTTCACAGCAAAATCGGGAACATCACTTCAATTGTATCATTGTCAAACATTTCATGCCTTCCTGCTCCTACGATGCTGCTTGGCCTGTGTTCATCCAGCCCTGCACCTTGTTATCTCAGATTCTCCAGCATCTGCAGTTCCTACTATCTCTCATGCTCTGATTATTTGGTAAACCTGTAAAATTTTCAAATCAATTTTTGGAAATTACAGAAATATCAATTTTGAAAGGAACACTGAACCAAGGAAAAGCCCAGATGAGGATAATAAGATGTAGCAATATATACTTTAATAATGTAAAGGAAGTGTTAATAGTTTAAATGAACCTCCGCAATTCAGAGTACGCCTTGACATATTTATGAAAATGTTATTACAAGCTATTCCTCAAACCAGGAATAAATTTTACTGAAATTCTCCTCACTTTACAGGTTCTTCAATTCTTCTTTCTCCAGTTAATAAATCTTATGCTCCATTCATACTATTTTTCACATCTATGAATCCACAGATAAACTAATTGTCAATGACCTTGCAGTCATTAACAACAATAGCAGAAAGAGACTTGGTGTAAGAAATAAATATGTCTCATCGATGTATGTGACGACTGTTCACAGGTCAGAGTAGAGGCACATATTGACATGGAGGAGACAGAAACTATACTTCTAGTACTCCACCTCAAACAGGAGCAAGGAAAATAAGATCTTTTTTATTCACAAAGCAAAGTTTATGATGGCAGGATACCCCAGTGCTTACATCTAATCATGCATTCTAAGTGCAGTCATCATTATATTGCAGAAGAACTCCAATCAATTTGCTTCAGGCAGGTTGACACTGATATCTCAGAGAAAATCCTGAGTAATGAACCAGAGAATGGATGTAATCTATTTTGTCGAGTTGAAACAGGTGCAATTAACCTGCCTGGTTTAAAATTTAAACAAAGCTTGGGAGGTAACTGTCAGTTATCATCTAACTGTTGGATTGACATGATAATGCCAACCAATCAGCAGTCTCCTCTTGCACAGCATGACTGCCATTTTCTCCTAACGTGGGTATTTTTGCGAATGTTCTGATGAGTACAAGTGCTCGCTAAAAGCTTCCACAAAGTGTGAGATTTTTTGGCAATATTCGGGTCCTGTACTACTACTATTTAAGGCGGCTTATTGGGAACTACCAGTAATAGTGTTTGATAACCAAAAAGAATGCCTCAGCCCACTGATCCAATGCCCTCAGTCAAAGGTTTCATTACAATTATACAAATTATTGAAGCAGTAAAATATTTAAAACATATCTCAGAAAAACAACAGACAGCATCCTGGATGTTAAATTAAGTTTGAGGCTTAGCGTCTTTTTTTTAAATTTATGTTTCATTGTCCTATTCCAAGTTTTAAACATTGAAAATTCCAATTTTTGCAGACTCGTGATGAATATGACAGTACTTTACAAGAAATATAATTGAACCAAACCCACATGAACCAACCAAGTTCATTATTCCTTCCAAACTTACTTTCAGAAATCTGACACAAAAGTCCCAAACATAACTGTACAGCCTGGCAATGGAATTATGAAAGACAATCAAGTTTTAATATGAAAAATTCTCAGCAGAAACTTATTTCAAGTTGCAACATTTCCAAATATAACTGATTTACCACCTTAGATTTATTCTGAGACCATAAGTGAAGAGCTCCATGGAACGCATGAGCTAATATCATTGATCCATCCGGACTGAATTGGCAGCCGTAGAATCCCAAGGTATTTCCACCTACTTCTCCAACACGTACCTAGAAGAAAGCAGAATAGAACTTTAAATTCCCACACAAGCACAAATATGGATTTAGAAATAAACACTGAAATCTATATCCTCTCTTGTGATGACCGATGTAAACGATCAGTTCAATCCACCAACCATCTCTTTATTTTCTATTACTGATTCCCCAGATTATTTTCTAGACCAACATTTACCTTATATACTGTTTTCATTTTAAATATCCAAAGCTTTTCCTATCTGATTTTATATCTTTGGCTAACTTTCTCTCATACACTAACTTTTCCCTCTTTATTCATCTTTCATTAATTCTTTGCTTTTCTTTGATAATCAGTCAAATCTTTTGACCTGCTAGCTATCTTTGTATAATTATTTTTATTTTCTTTGAGTTTGACACATCTTTGCATTTTTCAGGTATCCACACGGATCCTTCCCTTGGAATTTTTCTTACTAGTTAGAATGTAACTACGCTGCACTTTTTGGAGAATCTCCTTCAACGTTTGCCATTGCATTTCTATTGACCTATTCCCTTAACATAAATTGCCAATTCAATTTTACTTGGTCTGTTTTCATGTTCTTATAACTGCCCTCTTTTAAATTCCAAATAGCAGTCTGGGTTCTACATTTCTCTCATTTAAGTAGGACAGCAGGGTGGCTCAGTGGTTAGCACTGCTGCCTCACAGCACCAGGGACCTTGGCTTGATTTCACCCTTGGGTGACTGTCTGTGTGGAGTTTGCACATTCCCCCCGCGTCTGCATGACTTTTCTCCGGGTGCTCCTGTTTCCTCCCACAGTCCAAGATGTGCAGCTTAGGTGGATTGGTCGTACCATATTGCCCATAGTGTCAAGGGGTGTGCAGGCTAGGTGGATTAACCATGGGATATGCAGAGTTACAGAGATAGGGTACAGGGGTTGCCGTCCGGTTGGGAGGTTCGGTGTGGACTTGTTGGGCTGAATGGCCTACTTCCACACTGTGGGGATTCTATGATGATTCTACGAAATGTTCAATTCAATCATATTATGGTCGCTGCTACCTAGGAGTGCTTTTCTATCAGGTCAATTGGCTGAAACCAGATGTACATAGCCTGCTCTCTAATTGATGACATAATATGCTGGTCTAAGAAAGAATACCAAAAACACCAAATGAATTTCTCATCTAGACTACTTTTTCCCAACTGATTATTCTGATCTATATGACAGGCAAAATAGAGTCGTGGAGTCATACAGTACGGAAACAGACCCTTTGGTCCATCCAGTCCATGCTGCACATAATCCCAAACTAATCTAGTCCCACCTGCCTGCTCCTGGACCATATCCCTCCATACCATTCCTACTCATATATCCAGCCAAATATCTTTTAAACATTGTAACTGTACCTGCATTCACCACTTCCTCAGGAGGTTCATTACACATGCAAACCAACCTCTGTGTAAAAAAATTGCCTCCAATTTTTTTTTTAAAAAATCTCTCTCCTCCTACCTTAAAAATGTGCCCCCTAGTCTTGAAATACCCCATTTTAGTGAAAAGACAACTATCATCAACTCTAACTGTACCTCTCATTATTTTATGACCTTCTATCAGGTCACCTCTAAACCTCCCCTATGCTGCAGTGAAAAAAGTCCCAGCCTATCCAGCCTTTCCTTAAAACTCAAACCTTCCATAGCCGGCAAAATCCTGGCAAATCTCCTCTGAACCCTCTCCAGCTTGACAATATCCTTCCTATAATTGGGTGACCAGAACTGGACACAGTATTCCAGAAGAGGCCTCACTAATATCCTGTACAACCTCAACATAACATCCCAACTCCTATACTCAAAGGACTGAGCAATGAAGGCAAGCACGCCAGATGCCTTCTTAACCATCCTGTCTATATATGTGACGCAAACTGTAAAGAATTATATACCTGCACCCCAGGTCCCTCTGTTCTGCAATACTACTCAACGCCCTATCATTAATTGTACAAGCCCTATCCTTCTTTGTTGTACCAAAATGCAATATCTTGCATTTATCCAGATTGAACTCCATCTGCCATTTTTCAGCCCATTGACCCCTTTGATCAAGGTCCCTTTGTAACCTTAGAAAACCTTCTTCACTGTCTAAATGCCACCAATTGTAGTGTCATCCACAAACTTACTCGCAATGCTGTCTACATTCTCATCCAAATCATTTATGTAAATGACAAAAGAGGACCCAGAACTGATCCCTGTGGAACATTGCTGATCACAGGCCTCCAGTCCAAAAAGCAACACTCCACCATTACTCTCCGTCTCCTGCCGTATCCAACTGTCAAGCTCACCCTGAATCCCACGTGACCTAACTTTACTAATTAGTCTCCCATGCAGAACCTTGTCAAAAGCTTTACTAAAATCCAAATAAACAACATCTACTGCTCTGCTATCAACCACCTTTTTGGAAAGTTCCTCAAAAAAACTCAATTAAGTTTGTGAGACACGATTTTCCTCGCACAAAACCATGCTGACTATCGCTAATCAATTTTTGCCTCTCTAAATGTTCATAAATCCTATCTTTTATAATCACTTCCAACAATTTACCCACAACCAAAGTCAGACTCACAGGTCTACAGTTCCCTTGTTTCTCCTTACAACCTTTCTTAAACAAAGGTACAACACTAGCCACCCTCCAGTCATCAGGCACCTCACCCATAGTTATGGATGATGCAAGTATTTCCGCAAGGGGTCTTGTAATTTCCTCTCTTACTTCCCACAACATTGTGGGATACATTAGATCAGGTCCCGGCGATCTACGCACCTTTATATTCTTTAAGAACTCCCAAACATCCCCTTCTGTAATGTGAATATATAGGATAAAACACAATAGCATGTTGATTAGTGCTATGGCCACTTCAGAAGTTGAAGTTTCCATTTCTCAGCAAATGCTGTACATTTTTCAAAATTTTCTGCTTTTATGTTGAACTCTCCCTTCCTATTCTGCAGGATTACTTAGTCAGGTCCCATGTCACTTTCTGCCTTGGTGAAGCAGAATTGCTGCAGTCCCCATATAGAGGGTGTACTTCGCTAACTATGAATAATTTAGAATTCCTTTTGAAAAATGCATGTAATTCCATTACAGTAAGTACATTTCTGATGAGTTGAAGGGGAGACCTACATAGGTTTGTTACTATTACATTTTTCAAAAAAATTATGACCTACTTAAAGAGGCTTGCGCAAGGAATGAAATCAAAGCAGAAACAAATTCATCTTATTGATGTTATGAGAACAGTAAAAATACCTACTTTTACATAGCATTTTTAATAACAGAAAATGATTCAAGGTGTTTTTTAGGGAGAGAAGAAATAGAAACAGATCAAGAAATGTCTATCAAGCATTGAGACAGACAAACAATGACAGATGGTTTAGACAAAAAGAAAGCTTTCTAAGATGCTGGGCATGTTGCAGGTAGTAAATCTGCTCTTCAAGGGAAATATGCACCAACAATAATTAAAAAAAAAGGTCTTTTGTGCAAAAGTCATTCATACTTCCAAAGAATTGCACTTAACTGAAGTCAGCTGTAGTGTTTCTTCATTAAGTCAAACATGGGCAAGGACAAGAAAGGGAACTATTATCCAAAATTCTCAGGTTGCAAAGGAGACTGCAACCAGGAAATGAGTTACATGACTAGATCCATAGATGCCAGAAGGGACAAATGGCCAGGAGCAAATTACTGCAGATGCTGGAATCTGCACTGAAAACAACAAATGCTGAAGATCACAGCAGGTCAGACAGCAGCCACGGACAGAGAGCAAGGTAACGTTGAGTTTAGATGACTGAAGTGAAGTGTGGAGGGGACAGCATTTATGTTATAAAATGTGGGGGGGGGGAGAGAGAGGCGGCAGTGTAGTGGGTGTAGGGTACTGGTGGAAGGTAGATATTGACGTTTCAGATAAAGTGATCGGAATGTGAGGATGGCAGAAAAATGGTGTGTACAATTGCCAGATTTGAAAGGACAGACATTCCCACTAAGGTGGGGGAGGGAAGAGATGACATGATATGAGAATGTAACAAGCTAAAAGAAAGGGAAGAAATGGGAGTTAATTCACAATTCGAAGGTGTTGAGCTCAATATTAAGAATCCAGAAGGCTTTAAAGCGCCTAGTTTGAAAATGAAATGTTGTTCCTCCAGTCTGCTCTGTGATTCAGTGGAACACTGCAGCATACTGAGGACAGACAAGTGGGCATGTGGGCAGGACGCTGTGTTAAAGCTACCGGCAATGGGAAGGTTGAGGTCATGCTTGCACACAGACTGGAGGTGTTCTGCAAAGTGGTCACCCAGTCTGCGTTTGGTTTCTCCAATGTAGAGTAGGCCACATTGGGTGCAGTAATACAGTACACAAGATTGGAGGAGGTACAGGTGAAATGCTGCTTCACCTAGAAAGACTCTTTAGGGCCTTGGATGGTGAGCAGGGAGGAGGTGGAGGGGCAGGTGTTGCATCTTCTGCAGTTACATGGGAAGGGGCGGTAGTGTTGGTGGTTATGGAATGGACTAGGGTGCCCGGAGAGAACAATCCCTGCGAAATGCAAACAGAGGGAGTGAGGGGAAGATATGCTTTGTGGTGGCGTTCTGCTGGAGTTGTCTGAAATGGCAGAGAATGATAATTTGAATACAGAGGCTAGTGGGATGAAAAGTGAAGACAAGGTAAACCCAATCATGCTATGAGTGATGGGAAGGGGCAAAGGTGGAAGCAAGGGTGATAGGTCAGATGCTGTTGAGGGCCCTGTCAACCATGGTGAGTGGGAAACCACGGTCTTGGAAGAAGCAAGTCATATCAGCACCGCTGTTTTGGAAGATGGCATCAGATGCAACAGATGCAACATAGGCAAAGGAACTGGGAGAATAGGATGGAGTCCTTGCAGGACGTGGAGTATGATGAGCTGTGGTGAAGGTAGCCATAGGCTCAGTAGTTTTATAGTGGATGGCAGTGGCCAGTTTATTCCCAAAAATGGAGACAGAGAGGTCAAGGAAAGGAAGGAACGTGTCAGAAATGGACAATGTGGAAGTT